TATTCATATATAATCAAAAATACAAAATAGTTTACCTGTAACCTTAGTTCTTGCTAGTAAATTTTCCTTCAGCTAAAGAATCAAGCTATAAATAATAATAACAATAAGCCTTAGAACTGTTAACTGGTTGGGAACAGAGAGCCCTCAATTAGTAAACTTGTACATTAGAGAAATGTTGCCTGGAATAGTCTACACATGTGACATTTTCCTCCCATAAGAGAAACTGAAGGCAAAGAAAATAATTAGTTGCAGTACACATACCCTTCCTAAATCTAAGTGGTGATGAACATACCTAAGTACTGTATCTAGTATAAAGCAGAATTTTAAATTGTCAGATTTCAAAATCTGTTTAAAATAACCTAGATGGAAACTGGATTTTAGATCAAATTGTTTTGGACATGTATACAGCATTTTATGTAAATCATCTTCTGTTAATTTAATCTAAAGAAATGTAAATAAAACATTGTATTACAGGATTGATATTTTTAAACTATTTAGTGTGGAATCAAATATTTTACACAGATTGTGAAGTGACAACAAAAATTAGGTATCTTTAGGATCACTGTAAATCTGTATTCCCGTTGCATTAGTTGTTGGCTAACTCCAGTTAACTATGCATGAGAATCCAGTATTGTCTGGCCAGGGGAAGCAAATAGTTTAATAGAACATTGCCCTTTGGAACTGTTTGGGGATTGTTTCTAAATATTTTAGACTTATAACTTAAGTTAGAGAACCCATCTTCCCAATAGAGGACCTATCAGAAACTAAATTGAAATTGTATATGATTTTTAGCTAAATACCCAAGAATCATTTTTTACAGCAAGCAAGGCAAACTTCTGTTTAAGAGACATCTTAGAAAGCATGGGATTCCAATTACTATCTTTAACTAAGTTAATTACTAGAGTTGGTCTAAAAATATAAAAGCAATCAACATTTCCATCCAACATTTTGATGGAAAAAACAATTTCAACAGAATTTTTGTTCCATTGTTGACCAGCTGTATTAATTACCATATTTATTATGGAGACAGGGAGGGGAGATAATTTCTTATTGGACCAACTTCTGTTGGTGAGAGAGACAATTCATTAGCTTGTATCCTTCACTAAAAAGTTGGTCCAATAAAAGATATCTCCCCCACCTTCTCTCTCTAGTATTCTGGTTCCAACACAGCTACCACGCTGCATACAATGTATTTATTATGAACATTTCCTTCGTATACTTATAAAGCACTTTCCCCTTAAAGTAAGTAGCAGTATGGGAAATGTTCCCGGCTTGCCCTTTTTTAGTGGGGGAAAAAAAAGAAAAATCTAACCAAAGTTATGACAGTAAATAATTTAAAAAATAGAGGGTTTATATCCCCTCCAAGCTGCAGGGCATAAACCAATTTCTGACTACTGGGGTTAGGAGGAAACCTCCTGGGGACATGTTATAAATGCCCACTGCATTGTACCTTCCTGTTAAGTTGCTGGTACTGCCTGCTTTTGGAGGCAGGATATTGGACCAGATGGACTGCTGGTCAGATCTAGTGTGGTATTTCCTCTGACTGCTGACAGATCAGGTTGCTTGGTGTTTTTCAACAAGTTATCCATTCGTTGTAGTTTAAGTGCTAAAATAGTAATGTCAACATATTTTTTTCCAAGTTGCTATGAAACTGACTGTTGGTGTAATCATACTTGCACTCTTACTGCAGATACTCCAAAGTGCTTTTCTTGTTTATAAATGGAAATGCTCTTAATAATGAACATGCCTGTTTCCTCTGGGCAGCAATGAACAAAAGCAAGAAGTGTACAATTGCATATTGTAGCTCTCATTCAATTTTCAAATTTGCAGATGCATAATTTTTTGCATTGATTTTTAGGTTGGCATAGGGTACCCTTTTGCTCTCCTAGTTAAAATGTGCAAGTATCCAGAACTTTTTTAGAAAACTGATTTACACCTTTTGTGGGCATTTTCCCATTTTTATTATTACAGTGGTGTCAATTCTGTATTTGAGGATTAGAAAAATTATGAGTGTTACAACTTCACCCTACTTGAATGTTTCCTGATAAAATGCAAAAAGATCTACTAGAGAAGGTACCAAACGAGTCTGTGTTCATAGAGTGCAACAAGCTTAAGTGCCAGTTCTAAAAGAGAAAAGTGCAGAAAACAAAAGTTTAAGAGGTGTAGGCCACAGGTCAGGAAAGCACAAACTGAACTTTAATTACAGCCTGATGTATCAGTCCTGGGGCCCCAATCCTGTAAAGATTTAACCCCGTGAGTGGTGTCACTGGAGTGAATGGGATGACACCGTGTGTAAAGTAACACACAAGCGAATTGTTGCAGCAGGATTGAGGACTAGGTTCTAGGAGTCCTGGGCCCGCTAGCAGGGGGCATTGCGCATCTCCCCTTCCCTGCTGGGGCCATTAGCCGAAGAGCAGCAAGCGGGGGTGAGGCGGGCTGTATATCTGCACGACCCGAGCATTCAACAACTGAGTCCGGCAGGTCCCAAAACGTCAGTAGCCGAACAATACGAGGCGCGGGCCTGATTCCCATCGCTGCGCGAGCCGGGCGCGCTCCTGGAACCCCCCGGGAAGCCGGGACCGGCCTTCGTGGGCTCGCGCAAGGCTCCCCGGGGTCTGTGGGGGTGGGGGCGGGGGCGGACGCGGGAGCGCACCGCGGCCCGGGCGTTGCGTCAGCGTGGGAGGCGGGGACCGGGCTGGGACTCCCTTCCGGTGTCCCCAGCAGCGGCTTCCGCTGTTTCCCCGGCTGGTCCGCAGAGCGGTTTCCGGCGCGCCCCGGAAGCACTTGGTGGCGGCGCTTCCCTGCAAAGGCAGCGGCGGGCGGAGATGGCGTCGCCTGGGACCCCGGTCACCGTGACCGTCACCTACAGTAAGAGGCGCCCGGGGAGTGCGGGGCTCGGAGGCCGGGTCTTCCCTGGGCATCGCTGGCTCCGGCCGGTGTCACTAGGGATCCGCCCCGGCCACTGCCCCGCCCGGCCCAGCGCGCTCGGCTCCAGGGGGAGGCGGGTCCCGCCTTCGTGGCCGGGTCGGGGAGCGCTCGCGCCCCGCTGTCGCAGCGGCCTCCCCAGCAGTCAGGGCCTGGGCCCGGCGATGCCCTGTCCCCGGTGACCCCCGCATACCCCGCCCGCGGGTTGGAGCCGGAAGCTTTGCGCCCACATCCAGGCCCCGTGTCCCTAGCGATCAGCGCCCCTCTCTGGCTCAAAATATCCCCTGCGTGCGCCCGACCTCGCGTGCACCGTGCCCGGCCTGTGGCTCTTGTAGCGCTGGACCACACGGTGCTTAAGCAGCAAATCCCGCAACCCCACAAGGGCTTTGAACCAGCCGCACAAAATCCGTTTTGCTTTGCCGTGATATGAATAGTGCAGCGGCACAAGCCCAAATTTGGGATCGTGGTCTCCTTGTGCTGGGTGCTCCGTGCTCAAGGAGGAAGAGAGAGTCTCTCTAATAAAGATCTGAAACAAAACTAATAACCTAGGCACTGATCCTGCGGTCTGGTCCCTCTAGGTAGACTCCTCTGCCCATGTGCAACCAAACTAAACTCAACATAGGTAACATGGGAGTTAATGCTCTTTTTTCTGAATATATGCCTAGACAACTGACAAAAACAAAATCAAGATCTTTTTGGAAAATGTGTCAACAGTTTTGATGTATTTAATAAATACAAAAAGAACAGGAGTACTTGTGGCACCTTAGAGACTAACAAGGTGCCACAAGTACTCTTGTTCTTTTTGCGGATACAGACTAACAAGACTGCTACTCTGAAACCTATCATTAATAAATACAGGGAGGCAGTATGGCCTTGTGGATAGAGCAACAACTACCTGGGTGTATTTGGGCAAATCACTTCACTTATCTGCCTTTATTTCACTGTCTGTAAAATGGGGATAAAGATATTGACCAGCCTTTGTAAAGCTTTTTAAGATCTACTGATGAAAAGTGTTGTGTTATTATTATTACTTATACTGTGAAATACCCACGAGGTAAAGAGTACTTGATTTGTGGTAGAACAAGAAATCAGACGAGAAAAACTCATAAATTTCAAGAAGGTTGATGTTCCTCCTGACAAAAAGGATATAGGCGTCTGGACTTTTAAGTTCATCATTGTAGTACAATTGTGCAATGATCTAGATATTTAATCTATTGACAGGAGCTTTTTGTTGAAGTTTCATTCTTGTTGACTTTACCTCATGTTTACAAAGTAGGGCCCCGATCCTAGGGTTGTAGGTGTGTGTGTGAGGGCTTGGCTACACTTGCAAGTTACAACGCATTAAAGGAGCCCCGGGCGCACTAGCTCACTACCCGTCCACACTGGCAAGGCACGTAGAGTGCTCTGACTCCACGGCTAGAGCGCTCCTAGTACTCCATCTCAGTGAGTAGAATAACGTTTGATGCGCCCCCGCTGGAGCGCCGCAGCGTCAGTGTGAATGAGCTGTTGCATTACTGCACTCTGATCAGCCTCCAGAAACGTCCCATAATCCCCTTAAATCAAGTGGTCACTCTTGTCATTGTTTTGGATATGCCCTTTGAAAGCTCCGTTTAACAGCGGCATGCTTATCTGCTCTGAGACAAAGCAACCATTACTGTGGAATGCTGTGTGTGAGAGAGAGAGGTGGGGAGGGGAGGCGGAGGTCTGCTGCTGTCTGAACTTACAAGACAACATGCTGACATACTCTCAGCCCCCCAAAAACCCACTCTCTCTGCCCCCACATACACACAACGCACTCCCTGTCAAACTCCACTCCCACCCTCCATTTGAAAAGCACGTTGCAGCCACTTGCATGCTGGGATAGCTACCACAATGCACTGCTCTCTGTGGCCGTTGCAAGAGCTGCTAATGTGGCCTCGCCAGTGTGCTGTCAGCTGCCAGTGTGGACAGACTACAGCGCTTTCCCTACTGCACTCTACAAAGGCTGCTTTAACTCAAAGCGCTCTACATCTGCACGTGTAGCCATGCCCTAAGCGTCTGACAATATCAATGTTGTGTTTCTTTCCTGCCTTTCATTTGTTTTTAAGTATCCTGGATTATAATCTGTTTAGGGCAGGATTGACTCTCTCTTTGTTTGATTAGTGCCCAGAGTAATGAGGCACCAATTCTGACTGGAGTCTTTAGCACTGTAATGGAATGGTAAAGCATATTATACTATTCAGCCACAAGGAGCGTTAAAGGATCTTATAGTGAATATATCTGGTGTGTATTTCTGAGTGGTAAACTCTGTAGTCAATGTATATCTGATACAGAAGCCTGACCTTCTATTAGCAGCCTTGCAACCTACCGTGTATAAGTACATGGCAGGTGTCAGAAGTAAACTAATGCCAGAAGAGAACAAACAGAAGGTATAAAGCAACAAAAGTTGCAGAGAGAGGGAACAAAGCAACAAAGGTTGCAGGATTTCATCAGTATGGCACTTTTCAATGCCTCACAGAGCTTCTGCTTTGACAGGACTTCACAATGGACAGTCTGGAAGCAGTATTTTACAAGATTTCAGATTGCTACAAAGCTCCACCAAGAAACAAGATATTTAGTCAGCTTCTTTAATCTGAGTGATGGGGAAGCAGGCAGAGCATATCTTTAAATCCTTTGACTTTACTGAAGACCGTCACAAAGATGACTGTGAGAGGGTTCTGGCTATGTCTGATGCATACTTTGTACCTCAGAGAAAATGTAGTTTATGAAAGAGCATGTTTTCACCAGAAAATTCAAAAACCAAGGGAAAATGTTGAATATTTCATAAGAGCTCTGAAACTGCAAAACTTGAATGTATCAGAGACAGGCTGGTTTTTGGGTTAACAGATAAAAATCTTTCACAACATCTCCAATTGAAGATAGACTTCACTTAACCCTAGCCACAGCTATATAGATAATAAAGTAGCCTGAATTAATCAAACAGCAGAACAAAAGGCAGGAACAATGTCAAAAACCTGAAATTAGCTTAGAATCTGTAAACAGACACTTGAGTCATTATCATAAAACACCTGAGGCAGAGGGAGAGAACTTCCAGGCTAAGGGGAACAAATTCCAGACTACATGCACAAGGCATGGAAAAAGTCGTATCTCAAACTGTATATGGAAACTACTTGTGGGTTGTTTTTTCTTTCTCCTTTTTTCCTGGGTGGGCAGGTTTCCCTGTCACATTAGCATGTTTGAAGGCAGGCAGTCAAAGCAGAAGACTCCAAGGTTGAATGTCATATCCCTACTGATCAAAGTAATGATCGACAGATCTTGTTAATTACATGTTTTTTTTATTATGGAATAGAGAATGGCAAGAAAAGGGTATTAAAGAGTTAATGAGTGAGTTAGTAGGAAAAGTGTGACTAGAGAGCAGTAGAGGAAGGATGGAGAAGAGCATGGAGAGTGAATTTGTCACCAGGGACTTTGAGGGAAGTGGGATGGAGCAGATTGGAATAAAAAGCTAATCAGTAGACGGAAAATAATGTGCAGAGGCCAAGTTATAAAATACAATATACTGACATTATTGTGTGTGGTGGGTGAGGGACAGGGGCTCCAGTTGAGCCTCTTCCTGTTTTGTTGATGCCCTGGCTATTAGCAACATAAGTGTCTCTTTGTTCCCAGGGACCAAAACCATTCCCCAGAGCTCTTGATCTACTTCTCCCAATCTCAGGTAACTGGATGTGGCTTTTTGGGGACTGGTGCCAATCAAGTCTGGGTGAGCCTTGCCCATAGTCCTCTTCTACTCTAGGCCTTAAAAGTGTTTTTAACATATGGGAAATTCAAGCAATTCCCTGGTCACGTAGAAATATAGAAATTGCCAGACTGGATCACAGCCATGGTCAAGTTAGTCCAGTATATTGTCTCTTGACAGTGGCCAATACCAGCTACTTCAGAGGAAGATATAAGAAACTTTCCAGTAGGCAGTTTAACATACATCTCTTCCAGGGTATGAATATTGCTGTCTAATCCATGTTTGGTTGGCTCTTGTTTGCTTAACAACTGTTGTCATTATTTTAAGAAATAGTATTAAAATTAAACTGACTCATAAAATTAAATGATAGATTTAAAATAACAGGTGTTAAATTTGCTCTTGTGTCAGTCCAGCCTAGGGGAATTACTTTATATCCAAAGCTTTTTACATTTGTTACCAGGCTAGTATCTAGTTTGCACCTAAGAATGGCTCTTCCATAATATGTTTCAACAAAAATTTAAATAAAATACAAGTAACTTGTCACGCATCTCATGTCATATCCTGCTTTTAACAAAATTAAATCATCTTTTCTCGGAATAGTTGCATTGTGAAATATAGTAGCCCTTTAAATTGTTCTTACCTGTAATATAAAGGAGCAATTCGTAATTGCACAATGCCCTTGCTTTCAAAAATTACACTGCACTGAAAACAACCAGAGGTCAGCCAATGTCTCTCACCACTGCAATCACAAGAAATTGATTGTGCAGGATATGGCCAATTTAATTTTAATTACACACACAAAAACTGGGTTAAATGAAACGTTATTAAGGTTGCAAGGTCAAGCACTCAAAAGTAAGGAATGTCAGAATTAAGGTTGCCTTATTTGGCTGCCTTGTAAGTATGCCATTTTGATAGTCTTTAATTACATTATCACATACTGTTTTTTCCACTTGACCCCTGCCTCCTTCAGTGCACAGGGTGGATGTGATCTGGAGATAAATCAGGGTTCTTTAGTAAAGAAGGCTGTTATCTACAGAATCACTGCCTCATTTGTTGCAGAAGTTGGAAGATGTGTACATATTTTGGAAATGGGGTGAAGAGAGGGGATGATGGCAGGCCAAGGCCTAACCATAGCTAAAGGCCCTCCCCCTCATCTGAGGGGAGGGACCAGTGGACACAGGCCACAACTGAATACTGGAGACAACAAATGAAAAAAACAGGGATGGGAGCGAATGTCATAGGGAAAAAATCAGGTAACCATAAGAGGACACCGAGCGGAGATCCACCGACAGTACTCACTGCTCCAAAGCATCTAGAGAGTCAGTGGATACCACCCACAGGAACTCTGTTCGGAGGTGGAACTGTACAAGTGAACGGAAATAGGCCCCACAGTTGCAGAGCACCCCCTTGTCCAGCTTCCTCCACCTGGTATGATGGCTGGCCATCTTGGCCAGCGCCAGCAGAAGGTTGATAAGGAGGTCCTGTGAGTTTGTGGGGCCACAGATGGGATGTGCAAAGATCAGGAAGTGTGGGGAAAAATGCAGCCAGAACCTCAGTAAGAGGTTGGGTGTGCGCCAGGGTCTCCGTCTCGCCACAGAAAGGACAGGTGTCAAGGGAGTTTGTGAACCGTGCCAGGTACACGCCTGTGCTTATGGCTTCATGAAGGAGCCACCAGCTGATATCCCCAGTGGGCCATGGGACCAGCATGGAGTACAGACTGCCCCACTGGTGTTCCTCGCCCTCCTTAGGTAGCAACAAGTCCCGCCATTCGGTGTTGGGGTGGGACACAAGAGCAAGGAAGTGAAAGTATGAAGCATAAGCACATGCAGATGTTTCCTGGGCACAGTTCAGAGGTGGACTGGCTGGCTGGTGTTCAGCCAACTTAGGTTGAGTGTCTGGGGCAGCCTGGGAGGCTTGTGGGGCAGGGGCCCGATGACAAGTTCTAGAGGGCCTGGGGTGAGAGGCAGGTGGGGAGCAAGAGAAGCAAGAGGCAAAGCTGCCCTCGTTTCCTGGAGCACACGATAGGTGACATGGGGTGGACAGCCCCATGCGCTGGCTAAACACTATCAGATCCCTTTGATCGTAGTCCAGGAGGTCTCCAACTTTGGTACCAGCCAGGACCAACTCCAGCACACCAAGGGGGTCTCCACCACCTGCACACACAGATGGGGGTTGTGCAGCAAGAAGTCCTCCCCCTCGGCGGCTGTTATGGACCTGGTCGCGGAGTCTAGCTTCCAGGTCTGTGGAGGTCCTGGTAAAAGACTGGCCGCTCATAGAGGTCTCGGGGGAAACATCTCAGCTGGAGATAAAAGAGCTGCCGGTCATATCGGAGCCCTTGGAGGAAGGTGTACGCCAGCATGCTAAAGATGTCTCTGCATGGCCTGGAGGTGGAAGGCATGGACCTGGCTACGGATGCAGACCAGGCCCTGTCTGCCCTCCCTCTTGCAAAGTATGTAGTGAATGAGGCAGGGGATGGCAGGAAGAAAAAAGGCAGTATCATGGTTAAGATAGTAGAATGCTGATCTAGAGAACTGGATTCTAACCCTGCCTGTGTCACAGAGTTCCTATGTGATGCCAGTCAAATCACTTAAACCAAACTTTTGCAGAAGTGCAGGGCACCCACAACTGCAACTGTGCTTTGAACTATAAGGTGCCAAGGCAACCTTAATTCTGGCATTTCATAACTTTTGAGTTTGTGACTTTGCAACCATAATAATGTTCTTTTAATATGTGTGTGTGAGAGAGAGAGAGAGAGAGATTTCCTAGCTTTTTAAAAACAAACTGAAAAAGCAGAAATTCTGTCATGTTGACAGTCAGCCAGTATGATTGGACACTAGATCCACCACCCAGATCCACCACTTGAGCTAAAGGAGTAACTGAGAACAGTAGTAGGTTGTCATCCCCTATGTGAACCAACACTAGAGAGGGATGAGACACTTTGCCAATGGGTTTCACAGATATTTGCTGATAGTAGAGTGCTAGTGAGACTCAGGAATCTTGTTCCATTCCAGGCTATGGAGGGAATCATGTCTAGTGGACACAAACTCTTCTGCCCGTTCCCCTGCAAACTTGATCACTTCTGTCCCATTCCCTATGACACTTCCTGGGGATACCCAAGGTTGTGCAGCACCTTGCTACCAGCTGCAATTAGCACAAGGAAGCTTTGTCTGTTCCTGCTGTGGGACAATTCTCCAATACCACAAGCCTCTGACAACAGAAGCACTGCCTTCCAGGTCTCCAGAGGCCCCACTCTCTCTCTCTTTACAGGTTAACAATAGGCACTATCGAATCCTCAGGTCCTCCGAGCATATAGAGTACCCAGCCCCTGATCCACTAGACATGCACAGAATTCTCAGATCCTCTGCTCCCAAAGGAACAGTACATCCCAGCTTACCAGTTACACCTTAGATCACCACTCCACTTAACACACAGCACTTAGATATGTGTATAGTTACAAACAAGACGTTTATTTAACAAAGAACAGAGATTCAAGAAGAAGCAAGTGAAATTAATGGAAACAAATGGTTACATATAAAATAAAATCATAATATGCTTCCTAGAGCCTAAATTTAACTAACAACAAATGCTCTCAAAGATTAGCTCACCCAAAATTTCTCTCCCAACTTCAAACAGCCAGTCTGGCTGTAATCTTCCGTTCATAACAAACAAGCACGCTGGCAGCTTGTGCCCTTGGTGAAGGATGTAGAGAGTGTCTCTGTTAGAGTCCAAAAATTCATTGGTTTATTTCTTCCTGTAAACATCATCTTTTGAAGATATACAATCCCTTCATTAGCATTTGGCTTAGACGATAAATGGGCATCCATTGTGAAGTATACAATATTCAATCTACATATAGCCAGAAAGGTAGATAAGTGTCTCCTGCCTGAAAATAACCTGTTTATCACCTTCCAGTGACCAGCCCCACTCTGACATTAAGAACATAATTTTCATTATATAAATTTAACTCCTTACATATTATCCATACATACATTTCACAATGAGGACCAGAGTGACCCACACTTTCAGCAGAGATCTTACATGGCACTTTTTGGTGAACTAGTATGTAGGCACTAGATCCAGGGGATCCCTGTAACCCTTTTGCACTCCTGTGCAACAAGAGGTCCCTGGATCATATCCCCTCCCACGTGTCCCAATCCTGTGTCTTCCCCACCATAGGCTTCTTGTCCCAGGCCCATCCTCTTCACCTGGTCAGTCCCAGTCCCTGCTTGTCCGGCTTTTCATCCCAACCCCAATCTCATTGCTCAGTCCCAGTCTGTGTTCCTCTGACTTCTCATATAAGCTCAGTCTTTCCCCCCATCTCAGACATTCTGGCTCTGTCATAAATATAAAGGGAAGGATAACAGCCTTCCTGTATACAGTACTATAAAATCCCTCCTTGCCAGAGGCACAAAATCCTTTTACCTGTAAAGGGCTAAGAAGCTCGGGTAACCTAGCTGGCACCTGACCAAAAGGACCAATAAGGGG